ATTTGAACACCCTGCGAGTTTGCAAGTTCTCCCACTTAGAAATCATGGAGGGGTCTGAAATTCACATTGTAGGTGCATTCCCACTCAGAGACAGAATTTAAAAAAAAAAATTCAGGAAATAACATTGTATGATTTTTAAAGAATTTTATTTGTCTTGCACTGCTGAACGTAAGTATTTGAACACCTAAGAAACAGCAAGAATTCTGGCTCTCAAAGACCTGTTACTGTGCTTTTAAAAAGTCCACCTCTACTCCACTCATTAATCTAACTTAGTAGCACCTGTCTGAGCTCTTTAAAGACACCTGTCCACCCCAGTCAGTCAGACGCCAACTACTACCATAGGCAAGACCAAAGAGCTGTCAAAAAACACCAGAGACAAAATTGTGGACCTTCACAATGCTGGAAAGGGCTACGGGGCAATTGCCAAGCAGCTTGGTGAAAAAAGATCAACTGTTGGAGCAATTGTTAGAAAATGGAAGACGACTGTCAGTCTTCCTCGGACTGGGGCTCCATGCAAGATCTCACCTCGTGGGGTATCACTGATAAGAAAGGTGAGGAATCAGCCCAGAAATACAAGGGAGGAGCTGGTCAATGATATGAAGAGAGCTGGGACCACAGTTTCAAAGGTCACTGTCGGTAGAACACTACGCCGTCATGGTTTCAAATCATGCATTGCACGGAAGGTTCCCCTGCTCAAGTCATCACATGTCCAGGCCTGTCTGAAGTTTGCCAATGACCATCTGGATGATCCACAGGAGGCATGGGAGAAAGTCATGTGGTCAGATGAGACCAAAGTAGAACTTTTTGGTCTAAACTTCACTTGTCGTGTTTGGGAAAAGGATGAGTTACATCTCAAGAACACCATCCCTACTGTGAAGCATGGGGGAGGTAACATCATGCTTTGGGGGTGCTTTTCTGCGAAAGGGACAGGACGACTGCACTGTATTAAGGAGAGGATGAATGGGGCCTGTCAGGGCTCCAGGGTATGACCAGAGGTATGTGAACTGATGCAGGGAAATGCAGGCTTCAGATAAGTTATAAACAACATAATTTATTAAAGACTAACAATACAAACATAAACGCAGTGCAATACTAAAACATAACAGTGCAAACGAACCAACCCAAACCACCCACAGATAACAATACATACAATGTAAGCGTTGTCAGGCAGGCCGGGTCAATAACAATCGGGCAGGTAGGAGCAGGAGGAGCAGGCAGAGAGTAGTCAGGTCACGAGCCGGGTACAGCAACTAACGGGCAGGTAGGTACAGGGGGTCAGGCAGAGAATGGTCGGGGGTCACAAGCCAGGGATCAAACAGGGGAAGTCAGCAGAGGTCCGGATCAGGCAGGGTCAGCAACGAATCAGTCAGACAGGGACAGGAACAGGAGGAACAGGGACAGGGATGCAGGTAACAAGATACAGGGGCGCAGGAAAAACACACACCAAGGCCCAGACTGCAGGTCTGGCCATCCCTTAAATACACCTGCATAATCAGCTTCAGGTGTTTGGCTGGCTGCAGGGTTGAGTCTCTGATTGCTGGGAGCACCCGCTGGCCAGCCCTGGTACTGCAGCCCACAAGGCAGGTGAGTCCCACCATTACTGGCAAGTCCATTCCTGACAGGGCCGTTTATTGTGAGATTTTGAGCAACAACCTCCTTCCCTCAGTCAGAGCATTGAAGATGGGTCGTGGCTGGGTCTTCCAAAATGACAGCGACCCGAAGCACACAGCCAGGATAACCAAGGAGTGGCTCCGTAAGAAGCATATCAAGGTTCTGGAGTGGCCTAGCCAGTCTCCAGACCTAAATCCAATAGAACATCTTTGGAGGGAGCTGGAACTCCATGTTGCTCAGCGACAGCCCCGAAACCTGACAGATCTAGAGGAGATCTGTGTGGAGGAGTGGGCCAAAATCCCTGTTGCAGTGTGTGCAAACCTGGTCAAGAACTACAGGAAACATTTGACCTCTAATTGCAAACAAAGGCTTCTGTACCAAATATTAACACCGATTTTCTCAGTTGTTAAAATACTTATATTCAGCAGTGCAAGATAAATTCTTTAAAAATCATACAATGTGATTTCCTGAATTTTTTTTTTTTAATTTTGTCTCTCAGAGTGGGAATGCACCTACAATGTGAATTTCAGACCCCTCCATGATTTCTAAGTGGGAGAACTTGTAAAATCGCAGGGTGTTCAAATACTTCTGTTCCTCACTGTATACACTATCTATTGGGATGCTTGACTTTACACGCGCATGAACTTTATTGGCATCCCAGTCTTAGTTCCTAGGGTACAATATTGAGCTGGCCCACCCTTTGCAGCTATACCAGCTACAACTATTTTAGACAGGCTGTCCACAAGGTTTAGGAGTGTGTCAATGGGAATGTTTGACCATTCTTCCAGAAGAGCATTTGTGAGGTCAGGCACTGATGTCAGACAAGAAGGCCTGGCTCGCAGTCTCCACTCTAATACATCCCAGAGGTGTTCTATTGGGTGAGGTCAAGACTGGGTGCAGGCTAGTCAAGTTCCTCCATTCCAAACTCGCTCATCTATGTCTTTATGGACCTTGCTTTGTGCACTGGTGCGCAGGCATGTTGGGACAAGAAGGGGTCATCGCCAAACCATTCCCACAAAGGTGGGAGCAAGAGATTGTCCAAAATGTCTTGGTATGCTGATGCCTTAAGAGTTCCCTTCAATGGAACTAAGGGGCCAAGCCCAACCCCTGCAAAACAACCCCACATCATAATCCCCCTCCACCAAGCTTTACACTTGGCACAGTGCAGTCAGGCAAGTACCGTTCTCCTGGCAACCGCCAAACCCAGACACATCTATCAGATTGCAAGAGAAGAGTGATTCATCACTCCAGAGAAAATGTTTCCACTGCTCTAAAGTCCAGTGGCAGCGTGCTTTACGCCACTGCATCCGATACTTTGCATTGCACTTGGTGATGTAAGGCTTGGACGCAGCTGCTGGGTCATGGAAACACATTCTATGAAGCTCTCTACGCATTGTTGTTGTGCTAATCTGAAGGCCACACAAAGTTTGGAGGTCTTTAACCATTGACTCTGCAGACAGTCGCCAACTTCTGCGCACTGTGCGCTTCAGTATGCGCTGACCCCGCTCTGTCATTTTACGTGGCCTGCCTCTTCGTGGCTGATTTGCTGTTATTCCCAGTTGCTTCCACTTTGTTATAACACCACTAACTGTTGACCGTAGAATATTTAGTAGCAAGGATATTTCACGGATTGACTTATTGCACAGGTGGCAACCTATTATGGTACCACGCTTGAATTCACTGAGCTCCTGAGAGCGACCCATTCTTTCACAAATGTTTGTAGAAGCAGTCTGCATGCCTAGGTGCTTGATTTTAAACACCTGTAGCCATGGAGGTGACTGGAACACCTAAATCCAATGATGTGGAGGGGTGTCCCAATACTTTTGGCAATGTGTGTGTATGTATGTATGTATGCATGTATGTACACACACACACACACACACATATACACATACACACACCTACCTACCTCTTTATTAGGTACACCTGTTCAGCCAATCACATGGCAGCAACTCAATACATTTAGGCATCTAGACGTGGTGAAGACGACTTGCTGAAGTTCAAACCAAGCATCAGAATGGGGATTTAAGGGACTTGGAACATGACATGGTTGTTGGTGCCAGACAGGCTGAGTATTTAAAAAAACTGCTGATCTACTGGGAATTTCACAAACAACCATCTCTAGGGTTTACCAAGAATGGTCCGAAAAAGAGAAAATATCCAGTGAGCAGCAGTTGTGTGGATGAAAATGCCTTTCTGATGTCAGAGGAGAATGGGAAGACTGGTTCAAGATGTTAGAAAGCCAACAGTAACTTATGTCAATATGGACCAAAATCTCTCAGGAATGTTTCCAACACCTTGTTGAATCTATGCCACGAAGAATTAAGGCAGTTCTGAAGGCAAAAGGGGGTCCAACACGGAACTAGCAAGGTGTACCTAATAAAGTGGCTGATGAGTGTATATTGTGCCAACATATTACATGGTTATTTGAAGAATACATAGAACCATTTAGATTGGGCTCTGCCCTTTAAGGAGCTTACATCTACACTAATGTTTCATGCACATTATTACACACTCTAAAGACAGCTTGTTAATTAATATAGGAGTATTTTTTTGGGTTCTGGAAGGAAACCCATCCTATCCCAAATAAATTGTATGAATTCAATGCAAATACATTTCATAGTGGGATTAAAACTTGTGATTTAAAGTTTAAAAGCGGGAATACCAACCAATTAGCATGCTCACCAAGACTGTACATTTCATACCTAATAAATTAAAGCATGAAAAATAAATTCACACTAACACAAACAGTACATTGGTGCTCAATGAAAACACAACTGGTAGAAAACATATTTATTTTAACAACAGTGTCGCTGAACCTCGGTAAGGAAAGCCTGCTTTTCAGCTCACACAAAGCTTTCTATTACTAGTTTCATCTCTGCCAGGTTTCAGCCCCCACATACACACACCTACCTTTACACCTCAACTGCTACTTCTGCTGTTTTTTTTTTCCTCTTCTGTTCTCCCAAATCTTCCATTTTTCATTTTCCCCAAATACTTTACTCTTTTTTATTCTCCTGCTTCATTTATCCTCATTACTGCCAGACCTGCTGTATCGAAAGCCTGTACTGCTGGTACAATTTCTCTTCTATCCTGCACTCTCCCTTCATTGTTGCTTTTTTTTCTACTGCATGTGGCAACCTGCGTTCAGTCCAATCTGCAGGATGAAGTTCTGTAAGCCAAACTTCTCCATCCCTGTCCTGCTCTCTCCTTCCTTATTGCTGAGATGTCTCACAGGCCTGTATTGTTGGCAGTATGATGCATTCTGTTGGAGTACAAAACACACAGCCTACTTTGCTTTCATTGTCCCCCCACTCCAGACGCACACTCTCTCTGTCACATTGTGGGAGACATATTAGCATTAGAATCCCTGGTTGAAAAGCCCTTGTCTAGGAATACCTTTCTCCACATTCAAAATATATCTTCTCACTTTCTGTCAAGTCTACAAGACAGGAAGTGAAGGGAAATCTGTATGAATCAGAGATCGCAAAAAAAATGTTTAAGCCATTGCATAAATTACCATTGTCATCCAAGGTTGGGCAGCTACTTGCTCCACGAAGCTCATACTGCCCTTCTTCGTGTTCAACTGAAATCTGTCCTGCAGAGCACGCTGAAGAGGGACCTACAGAATGTGGAGCCTGAAGGGCACTTCTTCCTTTTTTGGATGGTGATGATTTCAGAGCTAAATGAAAAAATCAAAACAAAAAATAACTATAATTTAAATTTTCTACTTAACCACTTGACCTCTGGATGGTTTTATCCTCCTTTATGACCAGAACATTTTTTGCTATTTAGCACTGCACTACTACCACTGCAACTGCAATTGCTTGGTCATGCAACACTATACCCAAATTATATTTAATTTCTTTTCACACAAGCAGAGCTTTCTTTTGGTGGTATTTGATCACCACTTTTTAATTTTTATTATATAAATAAAAGAGAGAACATTTTGAAAAAAAAACTCCAATATTTTATACTTTCTGTTAGAAAACATAGCCAACAGAAAATGAAAAAAAAAAACTGGATTTTTGTTACTCACTGTAAAATCACTTTCATTGAAGGACACAGGCTCTCTTCTTAATCTTGACCAAACAGGGTTTTTATAGAGCCACCTACAGGGGTAGGACATTAGCCAGAAAAAAATTCGGCACCTCCTATGGGCAGTCCCCACTGGTATAAAACCCCATTTCTGATATAGACAAGCCAATTAGTCACAAGGGAGTGTCAGAAGCACAAACTTCAACAGAGGGATGGATGGTGTGTCCATAAATGAATTCAGAAAAAGGGATTTTATGGTAACAAAAAATCCAATTTTCTCTCACCTTCACTGACAGACACAGCCTCTCTTCTTGATCGTAACCAAACAGGGATGTCCCAAAGCAGTGCAATATCGAGGGGCGGTCAAGCAAATCAAAAAAGCATACAGAAAAACACACCAACACTCAGAACCACCCCAAAGGGGCCCATGAGAACCTGAACAGCAGCCTGAAAAACTTTGCAGCCAAATACAGCATCCAAAGATGGCAACACAGCAACCTATAGTAGTATGCAAACATGTACACAGAAGACCAGGTCACCGCCTCGCAAACCTGAAAAACAGACGCCTGATGTTGGCACGTCCAAGAGGCACCAATCGCCTTGGTGTAATGTGTGACAATGGAAAAGGGAGGCTCGCTCCCACAACAACGTATGCCTGAACAATCGTCCACCAAATCCAATAGGAGACATGGCAGAAGAGTCTGCCATGCCTGTCCTCAGACCGTCCATAAGAACACTGACATGGATAAGCACCACAAACTGCTTGGACAATGATCAAAAAGGTAAACCACCTTCTTGGGGTGCAAAAGGGCGAGGACACAAGGAGAAAAGAACAAATGTAAGCCTATACCCGCTCAGAAGGAAAGAAGGGGACAGGCAAGTGTCCTTAAACTGTGCAAAATCAAACAGAGAGGCTAACAGGCCAAAGATGCTAAATCAGACACTCGCAAAGCAGGTGTAATAGCTACCAGGAAGGCAACTTTCAGAGGGAGAAGGCACGGAAAGAACCTGAATGCTCTTGGAAGATTTCTGAAGAACAGATAAAACCAAATCCAAGTCCCACAACGGAAATGGAGAGCACACAGGGGCAAACACCCTAGATAAATGTGTGAAACAAGGAGCATATGGGCAAGGGTCATTGAAAGAAAACAGCAAGGCTAGAGATCTGACCTTGATAGCACTCAAGGAAAGCCTTTTGGCAATGCCACATTGACGATAAGCCGACACCCGAGCCACAGAGAAGGATTGAGGATGTAACCTCAAAACCTCACACCAAATGATACAAACTTGTCGGGAGCAATAAAATAGGTAGACTAACAAGCCATCAACATCACTAGCATCATGAGTTAGACAACCCCCTGCCCCTCAGAACCTGGCTCTCAATAGCCAGGCTGTCAAAGCCACAGGCAGAAAAACATGGTGCAAAATTAGGCAGTGGCTCTCAAGAAGTAACCATCAGGAGGCATCTGTGACCAGCCGCACCCATCTGCATACTATGAACGAAGAGCCAGTCCGGAGCCACTAACCAGATGACTGGAATTCCTTTGGCCCCTGTCCAAAGGAATTCACGACGGCGAAAGCTGAGAAATGGAGGGAAGGAATCTGTCAGTTGGAAAGGAATGAAACCCTATTTTTAAACTGGGGGCAACAAGAACAAGGAACTACTTACACAATGCCTTGAAAAAGTATTCATACCCCTTGAAATTTTCCACATTTTGTCATGTTACAACCAAAACCGTAAAGGTATTTTGTTGGGAATTTATGTGATAGACCAGGGGTCTCCAAACTTTCTAAACAAAGGACCGGTTTACTGTCCTTCACAGTTTAGGAGGGCCGGAGTGGCCAGTGGGAGTAGAAAATGTCCCAGCATCAGTAGGAGAAAAAAAAAATTACATAGTGACTCATCATTGGCGACAGTGGGAGGAATAGTGCCCCATCATTGGTGACAGTGGTATAAATAGTGCTCCATAATTGGTGTCGGGGAGGAATAGCGCCCCATCATTGGTGTTAGTGGGAGGAATAGTGCCCCATCATTGGTGTCAATGGGATGAAAAGTACCCCATCATTAGTATCAGAGGAAGGAATAGTGCCTCATCCTTGGTATTAGTTGGAAGAATAGTACCCAATTGTTTATATCAGTGGAGGAATTGCGCCCAATCATTGGTGTCAGTAAAAGAAAAATGCCCCATAGTTGGTGCCAGTGGAAGAAATGGTGCCCCCTTGTTGGTATCAGTGGGAGGGCCGGATAGAAGCAAGAAAAGGGCCACATTCGGCCCATGGGTCGCAGTTTGGAGACCACTGTGATAGACCAACACAAAGTGGCACATAGTTGTGAGGTGGAAGGAAATTGATTTTCAAAATTTTTTACAAATAAATGTCTGAAAAGTGTGGCATGCACTTGTATTCAGCCCCCTTTACTCTGATAGCCCTAACTAAAATCTAGTGGAACCAATTGCCTTCAGAAGTCAACTAATTCGTAAATAGAGTCCACCTGTGTGTAACTTAATCTCAGTATAAATACAGCTGTTCTGTGAAGCCCTCAGAGGTTTGTTACAGAACATTAGTGAACAAACCGCATCATGAAGGCCATGGAACACACCAGATGGGTCAGAGATAAAGTTGTGGAGAAGTTTACAGCAGGGTTAGGTTATAAAAAAATCTCAAGCTTTGAACATCTCATGGATCACTGTTCAATCCATCATCTGAAAATGGAAAGAGTATGGCACAACTGCAAACCTACAAAGACATGACCGTCTGCCTAAACTGACAGGCCGGGCAAGGAGAGCATTAATAAGAGAAGCAGCCAAGAGGCCCATGGTAACTCTGGAGGAGCTGCAGAGATCCACAGCTCAGGTGGGAGAATCTGTCCACAGGACCACTATTTGTGCATGCCACAAATCTGGCCTTTATGGAAGAGTGGCAACAAGAAAGCCATTGTTGAACGAAAGCCATAAGAAGTCCCATTTTCAGTTTTGCGAGAAACCATGCAGGGGACACAGCAAACGTGGCAGAAGATGCTCTGGTTAGATGAGACCAAAATTGAACTTTTATGCCTAAAAGCAAAAAACACTATGCCCGGCAGAAAATGAACACTGCACATCAGCCTGAACACACCATCCCCACCGTGGAACAGGGTGGTGGCAGCATCATGTTGTGGGGATACTATTCTTCAGCAAGGACATGGAAGCTGGTCAGAGTTAATGGGAAGATGGATGGAGCCAAATACAGGGCAAGCTTAAAAGAAAACCTGTTAGAGTCTGCAAAAGACTGGGGCGGAGGTTCACCTTGAAAATTGCTGTTCACAGACGCTCTCCCATCCAATCTGACAGAGCTTAAGCTATTTTGCAAAAAAGAATGGGCAAAAATTTCACTCTCTAGATGTGCAAAGCTGGTAGAGACATACCCAGAAAGACTTGCAGTTGTAATTGCAGCGAAAGGTGGTTCTACAAAGTATTGGCTCAGGGGTGCTGAATACAAATGCACGCCACACTTTTCAGATATTTGTAAAAAATTGTAAAAACCATTTATCATTTTTCTTCCGCTTCACAATTATGTGCCACTTTGTGTTGGTCTATCACATAAAATCCCAATAAAATACATTTATGTTTTTGGTTGCAACATGACAAAATGTGGAAAATTTCAAGGGGTATCAATACTTTTTTAAGGCACTGTAGGGCAGGGCCAGGTCACCGATGAGGTTCCTTCCCCTTCCAGGACTGATGAAGGAAGAAAACTTCAGCCACCCAGAAGGATCCAGAGAATGTTTTCCAGGTAGCCCCCGAACAGACATTTGCTCTGAAATGGTCAGCCTGTCAAGGCCATGTCAGAAGTCTGCAAACCACCACTGGAGCCCAAGGATTTGCTACAGCACCACAGCTGAAACGGAGAGCGCGTTGAGAAGTGGAGGTGCATTAAGGGATGCCTCAAAAGTGCATTATCATCACTGTACCAATGGATCCGCCAGTTCAGCATAGATTTGGGGCACCTGACTAGAAGTAAAAGCTACTCACAGAACCTGGACCATTCAGTCGTGACTGAGACACAAGGTACATGGTCCACACAGGCTGTAGGGCCGATCAGGTGATAGAGAACGTGTCACCGTATCTGCCTTGCCGTCCACAGGATCCACAAAAGAGAGGAATTCCTCCACCTGAACCACAATGGCTTGGGTGCACCTCGAAATGAGAAGAAGCTCAACAGGGGACAACGGCCTTCTTAAAGAGATAAAGTACCGTGAACATTTGGGGAGTACCAATGGATGCTGCGGATGTTCTCCAATCTTTGAAACTATTTTGTCAAAATATGTGGGACAGGAAGAAGACCTTAAAAGACCTAACCAGCTGCGTGTACCAAACAGGCAGTGCCCACAAGAGATACCCCACCAGAGTCCCAAAGGATACGTCTTGCACTAAAGCCATGACAGCGGTGACTAACGCCTTCCCCTGTGAGACCACAGAGGCAAAGGAGTCCACTCCATCTGAGATGCGGTAAGGTAAAATACCTTCTGCATGCAGTTTCCCCTGCAGTGGCTCTTAATACATAATTGAACCTGATCTAGATCCAGAGATGTGCATGAAAGCCAATGTTCTCTCGGCTCTCTCCCTCCCCAATTGTAAGGGATTTCCGGTGAGACGAATCGTGAACAGAAATGCGCATAGAAACGGCCGGAGAAGAGTGGTCGGTTGTGCGCATGCGCGTGGAAATGCGCGATCGCGCACGTGCACACGCACGGCGAAGATTGGCACCAGACGGGCTATTTAAAGAGTGCCTCTGCCCATGATAGGTGCTGACTGGTCTTTAGCTCCCCCGTGTCCTGCTTGTTCCTGTGTGATTCCTTTGTTGCTGACCCGGCTTGTTCCTGACCTGACACTGATTGCTCCTAAGATTGATACTGGTTCCTGACCTTGGCTTTGCTTCTGATTCTGTACCGTGCTGTCCGCCCGTTGATGACCCTGACTATTCCAATGACACTGCTCCTGTCTTTTTCCCTGGCTACCTGCCTTGCTCTGGTGCACGCCTGGCGATCTAGAAAACCCGCTCTGCTTGTTGCTACAGTGCCTGAAACAGAAGATCATCAGTCTTCCAAGGTCATAATCTGCAAGAGCTGCAAACAACATCTACTGGCGCTCTTGTCCCCCTGGTCCCTAGACTCCCTCTGTTCCAACTCCAGTGGGGTCAGGGCTAGTGACAGAAGTGAGGCCGACCTCGTCATTTCAGTCTCCCATCAGGTACGTGACACCAATAGTTCAGATACAGCAGCAGGAGCCATAGTGGAGGGAGTGGGTCCTGTTCTGCATGTCTTATGGACACAGGGATCGGGGCTCGGGAGCGAGCATGCATGAGTGTCCCCACAGAAAGTGGCTTGATATGGGGGCACTCAGCAAAACCATTGCACAGAGCATGTAAGTATAACATGCTAATTATAAAGAAAAAAAAACTGTAATGTCACTTTAATATATTACTAAATACTTTAACCAGGTACAACTCACATGATGTCTTTCTGAACACTGTATTGGTCATGAACTTGAAGAAACGTTCAGCGTAGAAGCCTGGTCTGTGTACAGAAACCGTGTCCTGGAAAAAAAATCCCAAAAAAAACAGGCATGAATGATCAAAGTAACCATTGTACAATTAGGGAGGCCATACAATTATTTACAATCAATAAGTGCAGCACTTTATGAATACAAGCTAAATCTCTACATACACAAAATATGACATAATGGTGAACAGACTGTGAATACTAATGAAAATAAATATTAAAACAGTGCAACATCACAAATATAGTGCTTGAAGTGAAAATAACTGATAATAAACCCCCTACTGCAGGGGATATACCTTATAACACAAGTGCTCAGTGTCAACACACTAGGAGGAAGTCACGTGAGCGGTGACGCAACGCGTAGGTGACGTCATTTACGGCGCGGATGCCATATTTGGACTCCCTAAAGAACCCAGCAAGTACACCCATACATGAGGTTCTATATGCTTTGTACAAGAAGAGGAAAAATGTGAGTGTCCTGTGTATGAAATTTTATTACTGTATTAATAAATGATAATGCACTATGGAGGCTTTTTTCTTTATGGACTATGTGGGAGCTGATATGTCTGGATAAGAGCCATTTAGGATATTTCTTGAGGATACGTTTTAACCCAGGAGGATCCAGGAGTGATCCATAAGGCATTTAGGCTCTTTTAGGGTCACAGCAAGGAGGTGAGGGTCCAATCTAGCTGTGTGTGGAGTCATCACCAGAGCCTACAAACACACAAGATTCAACTGCATGTTTGCATTTTATGCTGTGGACACTGGTGGCACGTTTTGTTAATTTAGATATGATTTTGAGTGATGTGTTCACTTATTGCATATATATGATTTCAGTAGTTATTTATAGTTATGAATGGAGTGTGTTGACACTGAGCACTTGTGTTATAAGGTATATCCCCTACAGTAGGGGGTTTATTATATGTTATTATGTTTTAATATTTATTTTCATTAGTAATCACAGTCTGTTCACCATTATTTCATATTTAGTGTATGTAGAGATTTAGCTTGTATTCATAAAGCGCTGCACTTATTGATTGTATATTTTGGTTTTTCACTTTAGGTAATAAGGTGGAGGTGTAGCAGCTTATTTTTAGTTTAGTAGGATTGAGCGCAGGAGGTTTTCCCCATTGATTCATACAATTATTTATTTATTGGGGGGGGGAATTGGCTCAAAAAATGAGCCAATTTCCCCATCAAACATTTGTTCAATACAATGATCAGTGTTGTCGGCTACAGCCAGCGGTAATGATTGTTTGGCTGGTTGTACACAAGTCGATCGATAGATTGACTTGTGTACAACCAGCTGTCCCATAGCTGGATTGAAATTAAGCCAGTCCCTGCTGAACTGGCCAAATTTTGATCCATGCATTGTGTAAACCTTGTGTTCTTCTTGGTTGTTGTTTTTTTTCAATATTGTCAATCATGTGTAACTTACCCCATCGTGAACAAGAGCTTTCCATGTGTGTTCCAACTTTTTTATAAATCTAGAAAAGAAAGATGGTAATATATGCATGGTAATGACAAATGTTTCTGCTTTAATATCATAATTCATTAATTAAAAAAGGCATAAAACTAAATTTCATAACTACACAGCAATGGAGTAAAGTTATTATAAAAACACACACTAAAGTAGGATCTCTAATTCTGCTAAGGTACGGAAACAAACAAAACACAAAGTACGTATAGGGAAATGTTAAATGAAGGTATTTATATACCTGTATGACTGCAATATGTCAATAATTCCTATGTACAGTAACAGACGTTCCCCTCTTCCACTGACAGCTGGAATACCTCCCATTCTATAATGGATGCAGTAGTTGTGAAAACAAGAAACATTCTGTATCAAAAAACAGGCGCAAAATCATAATAATAATAACTTAATAATAAGTGCAATTATTTTAATCAGAAAAACATAGGCAGACAAAAGATATTACTACATACTAAACACGTTGCATGCTTTATTAGCATAAACCATTTGGATCAGCTCACTAGAAAATGACAAACAAAAAAAAGTTGCAGCTTAGGTTAAAATGAAAGACAAGAGATAAACAAGAATCTCTCATAATGCGGATAAGTGACCTTTCTTCTAGGTATTCTAACCACTTGGGCTCTGGAAGGTTTTACCCCTTTCATGACCAGGCCATTTTTTTCTATTTAGAGCTACACGATTATAACTGGCAATTGCTTGGTCTTACAATGCTGTACTCAAATTTATATAATTTTTTTCACACATTTTTTTGGTGGTATTTGATCACCTTTTTTTTTTTTTTTTTTTAATTATATATATGAAAAAAGACTGAACATTTTTAAAACCATATTTTCTACTCTGCTATAAAATATATTCAATAAAAAACCAAAAAAAAAAATCAAATTTCTTGATAAATTTAGGTCAAAATTTATTTTGCTACACATTTTTTGGTAAACAAAAATCCCAGTAGGAGTATATTGCTTGGATTTGTGTAAAAAGTTAACCAATGTCACCAATAGTTACTTGATTTATCCAGTAAATGAAAGATCCTCATTAATGCCCTCAGGTAACACAACATCCAACTTATAAAATCCATTGGCTTTTTTCCCCAGTCCTGAAAATATCATCTCACCTAGGGTCTTTTTCTGGATGGTAAATTTACAGATATTTGTTGCTGAATACTTATTTTCAAATAATTTTGGGTTTGTCCAACAGGACAGATAAGCACATAAATAACTCCTCCTCTTTGGCAATTTATACAATTGTAGACCCTAAATTTCTTGCCACTACTACCATACTCGACTGTGTATGTTGGTCGAGAATACTCTCATATAGAACAAGCATCACACCTTGCCTTGAGGTTTGGCCCCTAAGGTGTACTTCTTAAGAATTCCCGAAACATAGTTCCAACATAGTAAAGTTTCACAAATCAGGTGCTCTTTTCACTATAATAGAAGTTTATGGGTAATATATCTCTTCACTGTTTCACCCATTTGACACGCTGGCTAGTGCTTATTTTCTCATATAAAGCTGGCCACTAGCTATTATATTTGTAATTTTCTTTCATTGTGGTGCTACTAGGGCATTCAATTCAAGGGTTTGTGCTCTACCTAGTAAGCTCTAACTACATGGATCAATCATTGCTGTAACACTTTCTTATATAATTATTTTATTGCCCTGTTTCTGGGAGGAAATATGTTAAGTTACAATTTTTATGTATAACCATTTTAATTTTATTTTTTTTCCTTTATCTTTATTTTATTTTAAGTATAACTAAAGGCAAACATTTTTTTTTTAGTTTTGGATTAAGTGGAGAGGGATTATAATGCTTGCCAGTTTTCATTGCTGTCTGTGCCCCCGCTGAGGAGATTCACCCTCCCTAATCCCAAATTTTTTATAAGTAATAAGATGGAAAATCTTCCAATGGGGACACTAGTCAAGGTGATCTGGGGTTCCCCAAGGAATTCTCTTACTTTGCAGGAATTTCTGCTCACTTCCTGCTTGGCTACGGGACAGGAAGTGAAGGGAAATCTCCACAATGGAATACGACGAAATAAAAAAAAAAAATCTGGTAGGGGCTGAAACCCTCCCATGCTCTATCCAAAATTTAAAAAAAAAAAGTTTTCACTATAATGCTACTTTAAATTCCAAAGCACCACAATCTTTTTCTGGAATTATGTAGGTGAAACCCTCAGTTCACATGATGCAACCCCCCCCCCTTGAAGATTTAGTCCTCTCGGTTGGGCTGTTTTATCTGAGCTTGACATGCCTGCTCTAACTATATCAATGCTTCTTCTGAAAGTTGATCAAATGTCTCATCATCACTAGAACAAGTACATCGTACCTAAAGCATACTGTTGAATGACAGTGTTATTTCATAAAGAAGCTGTGTGGAGTTTAGCATAGTTTAAAGCTAAACTTAGCACACAAAATATTTATTTAAAGTGGTTGTAAACCTCTGAAATTAAAAATGAACAAAATATATCCTTCTATCCTGTTTACTTGCCTTGATCCAAAGATGTGATTTCTATCTGTTCTCTCATTCTTCTGCTATTGGCATGAGTCAGTTCTAAAGCTGGGTATGCACATTGAGTTTCTTTTTCATTCAACCAGCGGGTTGAACGAACTTCTCAGACTCCTGCATCCAAACAAGCGATGTGGATGCAGTGATCTCCCCCACTGTGTAATCACACCATTGCACCCTGCTCATACATGGTCCATTTTTAACATCAGAAGTAAACCTGCCCAAAGATATTATGTACAGCAGTGGCAAGGATGCAGAGAAAGCAGCTGCAAAGAGGCAACAAGATATACAGTTAGGTCCATATATATTTGGACACAGGCATATTTTAATTTTAATCAGGTATTTATCAAAACATATTCAAGCTATAGTTATATAATGGACATGGGCTGGAATCTATTGCTGTGAACCTACATCATGTGTTCAAAGGAGCTGTCCATGAAAGTGAAGGCATGGACATCCATGGAAGACAAAACCCATTCACAACATCCAGACAAGTGAAGGACACTCTCCAGGAGGTGGGTGTATCATTGTCAAAGTCTACAATCAAGAGACTTCATGAGAGCAAATTCAGAGGGTTCACCACAAGGTGCAAACCATTCATAAGCCTGCAGAATAGAAAAAACAGATTAGACTTTGCCAAAAAAACATCTAAAAAAGCCAGACCATACTGAAAAAGTGTGGAGAAGGCTTGAAACAGCTCATGATCCAAAGCACATAATATCATCTGTAAAACATGGTGGAGGCAGTGTGATGGCATGGGCATGCATGGATCCCAGTGGCACTGGGTCATTGGTGTTCATTGATGATATGACAGAAGACAAAAGCAGCCGCATGAATTCTGCAGTGTTTAGAGATATACTGTCAGATTCAGCCAAATGTAGCAGAGTTGATTGGATGGCGCCTCACAGTACAGATGAACAATGATCCAAAACACACTGCAAAAGCAACCCAGGAGCTTTTAAAAAAAAAAAAACAAAATAATTGGAATATTCTGCAATGGCCGAGTCAATCACCTGATCTCAACCCAACTTAACATGTATTTCACTTGCTGAAGGCAAAACTAAAGGCATAAAGACCCACAAACAAAGAACAACTGAAGACAGCTGCAGTTAGAGCCTGGCAAAGCATCAGAAAGGAGGAAACCCAGTCTTTGGTAATGTCCATGGGTTCCAAACTTCAGGCAGTCATTGCCAGTAAAGGATTCTCAATAAAATATTAAAAATGAACATTTATGATTATATTCATTTGTCCAATTACATTTGAGCCCTTGAAAATGGAGGGACTGTGTATTAAATGGTTGCAGTTCCTAAAATTTATACTTGATATTTATGTTTTCAACCGCTTGAATTAAAGCTGAATGTCTGCACTTCAAATTCATTTGGATTGCTTCCTTTTTATTTATTCTGGTGGCATACAGAGCCAAAAGTATGAAAACTGTACGTGTGTCCAAATATATATGGTTCTAGCTGTAAGCATCGCTGATATGCAACAAAGAAAGAAAAAAATAAATAAAAACAGTATTTTATTTCTAATAAAAAGGAAATTGTTTAGGGTACACTGTCCCAAAACAATCTATATGTCCTTTAGTTAGGGTTAAGATGTACTTTAAATAATTCTATAGAGACACTTATTTTACTCACGTATCATCTGTGTCTATGGATTCCCCATGAGCTGCACCACCCTGAATGGATTCCATTGCGGTGGAATACAGAGCCTTCTGTCCAACAGGCCTCTTTTCATCAACCTGACTTTGAGTTCCATCTGTTTGTCGTGCTTTCTCTTGTTGTTCTATGTTGTGCACTCCTAAAAGAAGGCTGTAATCCATAATCTTGAAGCTCTCTAAAACCTAGGAAAACAATCCAGAAATTAAAATGGAATTTGCTACTGAAATAGAAAAGCGAAATATAAAACAGTAACTCTAAAAACTCTAAAAAAAAAAAACGTACTCTGCAAAGTCAAACATGAGTTAAAGCTGTGATCACTTTAATGATCAAATCATGTATGAGCACAAATCCTCTTTTACTTAAATTCTATTTGCACGTGAATAGGCATTCCTTGCAAAAGGAATTTTCTTATACCTACACTTAATTCATTAACCTTTTCTCACCCCCAAAATCCCTTTAAAAAGTTCTGAACATCCAGAGGCCAGAAGGTACGTTGATCATGTGACCACTGTGACTGTTTGTCCCCACTAGTAGAGACAGAGATCTGCCCTTGACAGCTCGGTCTCTTTGCTGGGAGAGCACTCACAGAACACAAAACCTTCAGTTGCCCAGTGAGGTATATGTGTGGCGTGTGTGCATTAATTTTGCCACGGCACATATTTGTTATGCAGGTGGCAACAGGTTCAGCTGAGCAAAAAAAATTACTTTGCAATGTAAATATGCTTTACTGCTTTAGTAAATCAACCCCAATGTCAAGGAGAGTACTGTGATCTCTGTGAGGGGCAACACATATATGTAAATGTTACCTTTTCACATTACTTTGTATGCATGCACTTAACATCAAAAATGTGATACTAGATCCACGTTAATTAAATTCAAGATACACTATATTGCCAAAAGTATTGGGACACCCCTCCAAATCATTGGATTCAGGTGTTCCAATCACCACCATGGCCACAACCATATAAAATCAAGCATCTAGGTATGAAAACTGCTTCTACAAACATTTGTGTTGCTCTCAGCAGTTCAGTGAATCCAAGCTTGGTATGGAGATAGGTTGCCACTTGTGCAATAAGTCCATCCTTGAAATTTCCTTCCTATTAAATATTCCACGGTTAACTGTCAGTGGTATTATAACAAAGTGGAAGCAACTGGGAACAACAGCAACTCGGCCATGAAGTGGTAGGCCACTTAAAATGAGAGCAGGGTCAGCTCATGCTGAAGCGCACAGAAGTCGCCAACTATCTGCAGAGTCAATAGCTAAAGACCTCCAAACTTCGTGTGGCCTTCAGATTAGCACAAAAGTGCATAGAGAGCTTCCTGGAATGGGTTTCCATGGTCGAGCAGCTGCATCTAAGCCTTATATCATCAAGTGCAATGCAAAGCATCGGATGCAGTGGCATAAAGCACACCGCCACTGTACTCTAGAGCAGTGAAGACATGTTCTCTGGAGTAACAAATAATGCTTCTGTCTGGAAATCCGATGGACGTGTCTGGGTTTTGCGGTTGCCAGAACAGTACTTGGCTGACTGCATTGTGCCAAGTGTAATGTTTGGTGGAGGGGGGATTATGGTTTGAGGTTGTGTTCTGGGGTTGGGCTTGGCCCCTTAGTTCCAGTAAAGGGAACTCTTAAGGCTTCAGCATACCAAGACATTTTGGACAATTTCATGCTCCCAACTTTGTGGGAACAGTTTGGGGATGGCCCCCCCTCCTGTTCCAACATGACTGATCCAGTGCACAAAGCAAGGTCCATAAAGACATGGGATGAGCAAGTATGGGGTGAAGGAACTTGACTGGCCTGCACCTCAACCTGATAGAACACCTTTGGGATGAATTAGAGTGGAGACTGAAAGACAGACCTTCTCGTCCGACATCAGTGCCTGACTTCACAAATGCGCTTCTGGAAGAATGGTCAAACATTCCCATAGACACACTCCTAAACCTTGTGGACAGCCTTCCCAGAAGAATTGAAGCTGTTATAGCTGCAAAGGGTGGGCCAACTCAATTATGCACCGTTCAATATTCAATAAAGTTCATGTGCGTGTAAAGGCAGGTGTCAAAAAGAAATTCAAGACCTCAAAGAGTGAAGATGGCAAACTCAGAGGTTGCAGCCCTAGATGTTACAGCTACCCCTAACAGCCGAGAGAGCAACCCATCTAGAAGGGATGGTGAGGGTCATGCACTGGCCCGGACTGGGAAAAATAATAAGCTTGGGCACTTTAGACTGAGCAGCTCAGGGAATGGGGGGGGGGGGGGGAAGGCATTCATGGGGGTGGTTGGTGATGGGATTTTGGGGTTCCAGGATCTGTGGATTCAATTACGGTACCTTTTTTATTTTAGTGGGCCCAATTTAGGCCAGAGCTGCCAGATGATGCTGTTTTTTGTCTTGATTTTAACTCCAGTTTTGATGGTGAAGTCCTAAAAATAGTATGAAGCAGCACAAGATGTGAGTTACTCAAACTGATCCTTTGCAGGATGGTGCGGAGGGCCTTGGCTTCTCTGTCCCTCCTCCACACCTGGTGTCTTGGTTGCAAGGCGACCGATGCCTGCGGAGAACATGTGTGAACTGGAACTCTCAGTTCAGCAGTGGCCTAGGTTGCCATGGAGTGGCTTGGTGGGCAGAAAAATGGAGAGACCCTTTCCGCGCATATGTGGCAAGTATTGTCAGCGCATGCCCAGATGGTACATACACCTGTGGACAGCCCTGCATGTCACATTAGCCAGCTCTTATTAAGACATGTGGCTCGGCGGCTACGGCTCATGGAGCAAATGTCCAGTGTGCTCTATGGCCAGTCCAGACCTGGTTATGCAGACAGACCTAGACAGTTGGTGGTAATTGGGGATTCTATAATCAGAAAGAGTGATAGAGTTATTCTTTGCCAGGATCACCTCAACCAAATGGTTTGCTGTCTCCCTAGTGCCAGCGTTTGGCAAGTGGTGGACCGGGTTATTGAATTACTAGGGAAGGCTGGGCCCAGCTGTCTTGGTCCACGTTGGGATCAATGGCAGAATACATGGAAGATGGAGGATCCTTGAGAATCGATTTACAGAGCTTGGCTGCAAGCTGAAGGGAAGGGCCTCCAAGGTTAACATTTTTGGAATATTGCCTGTGCACAGGAAAGGCAGGGGGGGCTTAGAGAACTGGCTGAAGATCTGGGAAGGATTTGGGATTCTAAGGCACTGGGATCACTGTTCATTGGGGTACAACCTACATATGCCAAAGATGGATTGCACATAAATGAAAGGGTGTCTGTCATGCTAGGGGAGAGGTTTAAAGAAATGCTGGAGGAGTATGTAAACCAGGATTGAGGGGGGAGGAAGAATTAGAATATAATGGGCAGACAAGTCAGTCAGGGGTCAGATACTAATGGAGTGTGAAACAGGGAAAGATGGAGAGTGGGCTATGGTGATAAGGAGTCACCCATGTTACAAAGAAACAACCATTGGCAATTACAAATGAAAAACACAAGTGCAACATGTGACAATGAATAAAAGTGTTTGTATACCAATGCCAAAAGTCTGCCAAGCTAAATAGTAAAGCTGGGAGCGTTTGTGGATAAAGAGAATTATGATTTAATTGGCACTGCTGAATCTTGGCTTCCTTCTTCACATAATTGGGGTACTAATATTCCTGACTATGCTCACTTTCAGAAAGACAGGGTAGAATAAAGAGCGGCAGTGTCCTTCTCTATGTGAGATGTGATTTCAAAGCGAGTGTGAAAGAGGACCTAGTTGATGTGTTGATGTAAATGTCTGTAATGGCACTTAAAACATTATGAGTGGAACTGCATATGGGTGTGTGTACTTCAAAGTCAATTGGAGTTTGTTATAGACCACCCAGTGTTAATGAGGAGATGGAGACTAAGCTCCTTGCACAGACAGAAAGTGCTGCAAGGGCTGGGTCTGTGAAAACAATGAGGGATTTTAACTACCCTGATTTTGACTGGAGTAATGGCACTACAGGGACAGTAATCTCAAACATTGGGGGGCTTATTACTAATGTTCATATAGAAGAAAATCTGGGTAGCAGTGACCATAACATGATTTCATTTAATGTTAGCCGTAAACAGACAGCACAAGGCTGAGGTCTGTCCTGTACACAGAACAGAAATTGGAATTCTTAAAATCGACAGTTTGCAAACACACTGCTAAACATATTCCCATCGTCACTACGTTTAAAAGGCTGCAAATAAAACTTATGTGGCTCGCAGCCAAAGTTGAAATAGCTACAAATAAAGAAAAGAGCATTTTAAAAATTTAAATGAAGTAACACCAACATCATAAGGAATATAACAGAATATGTAAAAAGGAAAACAAAGCCACAAAAATGTAAAATGAAGGACGGGTTGTAAAAGAGTAGGACAAATCCCCATTCTTCAAATTTATTTATAGTAAAAAGGTTAGTGTGGGAGTTGGTGATTGGGGACAAAGCAAAGGCAAATCTATTAAATGCCTTCTTCAGCTCTGTGTATACTAAGGAAAATGGGGGAGCTCAAGTCCTTAATGAGGATAGTTTTGACAAATTATCCACAATGGCTCAAAACTGATATGGCCAAGAAACACTTAGACCAACTACATGTGAATATATCACCTGGACCAGATGGATTACACCCATGTGTCCTTAAAGAGTTGAGCTTTTATTGCTTCAAAACTTGAGACTCTGTAATGACTGGCATAGTACCATTGGATTGGCTTAAAGCGGTACTAAACCTAAGAATTAAAAGAAAAACTTTTCCCCTGCAAAGCAATGTCCTAATATACATGTGAAAATGACCTTAAAACGAAGCTGTCCATTGGTGCGCTGTCACCGCCGACAGGGTTCCATCTTCACTCAGCCCTTCTTTGGGGTTTGCAGGCTCCAGCGGCTTGAATGGGCGAGCCACGATGACGTCACTTCGGCGCATGCATGCAGGAGACCCTTTTTACGGCACACAGCTCTGAAGGAATGGCACAAGCATGCCGTTCCTTCAAAGCGCTTGTGCTGGTGCTGCTACACAAGCGCACGTTTTGGAGATATTTACAGTACCTACAGGTAAAGATTATTAAAGGCTTACCTGTAGGTACAAGTAAAAACCAGACTTTACTACTACTTTAAGGCCAATGTGGTTTCTATGTTTAAAAAGAATTAAAGCCTTTACCTAGTAACTACAGACTGGTTAGTTTAACTTTTATAGTTTGAAAG